GGGGGGGGGTCACTAATGTGTACCCCAAAGTGAATCCCGGCTGAAAGTTCCCCCGCTGCAAAATGGGTCAAACACAACACTATTCATTTCCCGGGTTTTAGTAACTTTTGTCTCGTGGGCTCCTTCTATGAAAAAATGCTGTATTTTAAAAATTATATCTTATAACTGTGTTGCTATAAAAACAAATATAAATTAGGTAATATTTTAAATATGTACTCCTGATTATTATATTCATTTTCCTTCTTATTTTAAAAGAAGCTAAGATTACATGTTTGTTTGTGGGCCTTGGCTCACAAACACAAGGCAACCTGAGGCCAAGTGTGAATGACAGCAGGTCATGGGTGGCAGTTTCTGGCTATTCCCCACACCTCAACTCCAGGCTATTTTTTTTTTAGATGGATACGGTGAATAGTTCAGTTTGCCCTCCACTTCTGTGTAGACAGACGCCCAAAATGGTGTATGATGTGAGAAGAAGAAAGGGAACATGAATTCATTCAGTCAACCAACGTTTATTGAGCACCTACTACGTGCCAGACTCAGCCAAACGGTTGGAGACACAGCTGTGGACAAGGCTGAGTAGGTTAAATAAATACAGCTGTTCTGCCCTCAGCACTGTGCTCAGTTGGTTGAGTGTCGTCCTTTGCACAGAGAGTTGCAGGTTCCATTCCCAGTCAGGGCATATGCCCAGGTTTCAGGCTCCAACCCCAGTAGAGGGTGTTCAGGAGGTAGCCAACTGATGTTTCTCTCTCTCTCCCTCCCTCTTTCTCTAAAATCAATAAGAACATATTTTTAAAAGTACAGCTGTTTTGCCCTAGCCAGTTTTCTCAGTGGTTAGTGTCGGCCAGTGGACTGAAGGGGTCAAGGACACGTACCTCAGTTGCAGGCTCTATCTCCAGCCATGGTTGGAGTGGGAGTGGGAGGCAACCAACCAATGTGTCTCTTTCACATCAATGTTTCTCTCTCTCTCTGAAAAGCAATGGAAAAAATATCCTTGGGTGAGGATTAAAAAAAAAAAAAATACAGCAGTTTTGAAATAGAATTGCCTGGATGAAGATAAAACAGTGATGCAATGTGATTCAACATGGTGATGGGGTGCACCTCATGCTGGAGTGGAGTAAGGGAAGAACCCTCCAAGGAGCTGAAGTTCCAGTTGAGTCAGGAGAAGACAATGGTCATTAGGTGATTCGGGAAGGGCATTCTTCAGGTGGCAGGCGCAGATATGATGTGGGAATATATTTGAGCAGGAAATAATGTGGGAAGGGGGGCAGTTTGAGATCTGGGTGAATTTTTTAAAGAGGATGCCTCTCCCTGAGTGGAGAGCAGGTTGAATGGTGGGGCTGGGGCTGGGTGAGGACCAGGCTGGTTTGGTTTTTATAATCCTCACCTGAGGATATTTTTCCCACTGCTTTTCAGAGTGAGAGGGAGAAAGAGGGAGAGAAACATCGATGTGACAGGGACACATTGATTGGTTGCCTCTGGCAGGTACCCTAGCCACTGAGCCAAACCAGCTAGGGCCAGGCTGTTTTTTCCAGGAGCTGTCCAAAACACAAGGAGGCCCCATAAGATGGTCTGGCCAAGAAACCTTATAAGACTAGATAGAGTTGCTGTACCTAATTTCCAGCTAGAAAAACAGAGACAAGAGGAGTGTCTGCATTAACCTAAAATCAGACAGCCAGGACCCAGCTGGAATCTGGGCTTGCTGCCCACCAGCAGCAGAGCCAGTAGGTCTGTGCATCACTTCCCAGCTCCCTTCCTAGGCTAAAAATAGGACTTCTACAGGGGAGGCAGCTGAGAATCCTGCAGTCCCTCAACCTCCTGGGCAGGACACCTCTGGAAAGCTGCATCTAGCTAAGTATGGACTACAGCTTTACCCTGGAACATGGGGAGAGGGCAGCACCCCTCCTGCTCTCAGGGGACCCCCACCCTAACTCCTTCTCTTAGAACAGAGGGAAATGCAGTCCTCAAAACTGTGCGAGGAATGAATTAATATTGACCCATTCTACAGAGGGGGAAATGGCACCTGCCTGGGGTGGGGCAGGGGTGCATTCTGATCTGTCCGGCTCATTCTGGGTGTGCAGGGGGCTTCCCTGCACTTTGGAGCTGAGCTGAGGCCTGGCCGTTTATGGGTGGCTTCCCTCCCCAGCTCACCTGGGTCTCTAAACTCCTCCTCCCCAGGCAGAATTCTGGGCTCTTCCCTCAGGTGTATGTGTGTGTG